CTCACTTGGTAGCCCAGGCTGGCCTCGAACTCACAGAGATCCGCCTGGCTCTGCCTCCCGAGTGCTGGGATTAAAGGCGTGCGCCACCACCGCCCGGCGTGATTTTAAATTTTTAATTAAAATCTAATTACAATACTCCCCTCCCCTTTACTCCCCCCCTTTAGGGTGAATATTGGTGTTTTACTTTTCTCTTCTCCATTTTTTCATCTCCACTTCCTTGACTTCCTCTCGGAAGTTCATCGAATGTCTCTTCAGTGGTATACATGTCAGATGAGGTCTCTGTGGTGGCAGACTTGGGAGAAGTCTCATCAGAAGCACAGGTATGTCTAGGGGACCAAGACCAAGACCTTGGAACCTTCCTGGTAAAATCCACTGTTGCTGGAAATGTCCACTGTAGGTTGAGTTGGCCCAGCAGGTATGGGGGGGGGGGCAGGAGGGGATAGTGGGAAGCACTGAAGAGCTCAACCCAGGGCTCAAAGAGGACATCAGGGTTGGAGCTAGCTTGACCCAATTCTAGAAGCCTTGGATGTGAATTTGGGAAAATATGACTGTGGTATGTGTTTGCATGAGTGTATGTGTGCATGTATACTTTCCTTTAGGTATGCATGCAAAAAATAGGCTTTGATGACCTCTGAATTTGAAACTTGGGTTCTTACTCCCCACCAAGGCATGTTCCACGCCTGGGTACAGTTCTGTGGGAGGGAACCTTTGCATGGACCACAGCTGCGGTTGTACTGCCTTTATTTCTTCAGGATGGAGTCTCTACCACTCTGTCCTGTGACTTCCAGGTATGTCCTCCCTAGTGTCCTGGTGTTGGAGGCATGTTGCCTAGGAACAGAAACACACGGGTTGAGGTCAGACTTAGGGAAGACTGATCAGTGCACACAAGCCTCTTCATCTGCCAACTGCCAACCCACAGAGCTCCAGAGCTGAGCTCTTCAGCTCTATCCACTCCTAGTAGGTAGGTGGTCACAGTGGATGCCACACATCCTTTTGTGGCAGCCATGTTGTTTAATGTTTACTGTGTGTCTGCCTATGTCAGGGAGGAGAGAGAGAATACTAGTACTAGATGCTGAGTCTCAAGGACCAAGAGCAGTTTTACAAAGAGAAAGTGGCAAGAGGCTGCTGGAATCAAAGACATGTTCACTGAGACAGAGGCTGAACACTGTCGCTGGTCATCGTCGTGATGGCCTGAAGT